GAACATACAATAACAATCATATATGTCTTATTTCCAATGTGGCCTTCTGAAATAGAAAACAACAACAAAAACAACAACAACAGGATATGCATAGGTAGAAACAAGAACCGGTTGAACCGGGTGATGCTCCCCGAGAAGGTTCTGGACACAGGAAAGTATAAAAAAATGAACAAAGGGCAATAACTCCAAAATTACACCAGGCTTTGTTTAGGTTCTTGAAGCGTTGCAGTTCTATCCAATTATATCTAGCTACCTACAAAGTTTCATGTTGATATCTCTAATAGTTTTAAAAGTAATGTCCAGGACAAAAGTCAAAAAGTAAAAAATAAACAAAGGGCAATTACTTCAAAATAAGGCAAGGCAGAGTAATGATTCTTAAGCACTGCACTTCCACCCGATGAGACCTATCTATCTACAAAGTTTCATTGTTGATATCTTTTATAATTTTAGAATAATGTCCCAGACAAAGTTTCAAAGTGTCAAAATGAACAAAGGGCAATAACTACAAAAGAAGGCAAGACAGTGTTACAGTTCTTGTGCACTGCAAACTTACTCAATGAGATCTATCTACCTACAAAGTTTCATGTTGATATCTCTTATACATTAAGAAATATGTCCCGGAAAAAGTTCAAAGTGTAAAAAATAAACAAAGGGGGATAATTCAAAAATTAGGCAAGGCAGAGTTTAGGTTCTTGTTCACTGCACACCTACTCAATGAGATCTATATACCTACAAAGTTCCATGTTGATACCTCTTATACTTTTAGAGTTATGTCCCGGACAAAGTTCAAAGTGTAAAATAAACAAAGGGGGATAATTCAAAAATTAGACAAGACAGAGTTACGGTTCTTGTCCACTGCATACCTACTCAATGAGAACTATCTACCTACAAAGTTTCATGTTGATACCTCTTATACTTTTAGAGTTATGTCCCGGACAAATTTCAAAGTGTAAAATAAACAAAGGGGGATAATTCAAAAATTAGGCAAGGCAGATTTACAGTTCTTGTGCACTGCACACCTACTCAATGAGATCTATCTACCTACAAAGTTTCATGTTGATACCTCTTATACTTTTAGAGTTATGTCCTGGACAAAGTTCAAAGTGTAAAATAAACAAAGGGGGATAATTCAAAAATTAGGCAAGACAGAGTTACGGTTCTTGTGCACTGCACTTCTACTCAATGAGATCTATCTACCTACAAAGTTTCATGTTGATACCTCTTATACTTTTAGAGTTATGTCCCGGACAAATTTCAAAGTGTAAAATAAACAAAGGGGGATAATTCAAAAATTAGGCAAGGCAGAGTTACGGTTCTTGTGCACTGCACACCTACTCAATGAGATCTATCTACCTACAAAGTTTCATGTTGATACCTCTTATACTTTGAGAGTTATGTCCCGGACAAAGTTCAAAGTGTAAAATAAACAAAGGGGGATAATTCAAAAATTAGGCAAGGCAGAGTTACGGTTCTTGTGCACTGCACTTCTACTCAATGAGATCTATCTACCTACAAAGTTTCATGTTGATACCTCTTATACTTTTAGAGTAATGTCCCGGACAAAGTTCAAAGTGTAAAATAAACAAAGGGGAATAATTCAAAAATTAGGCAAGGCAGAGTTACGGTTCTTGTGCACTGCACACCTACTCAATGAGATCTATCTACCTACAAAGTTTCATGTTGATACCTCTTGTTGTTTCAAAGTTATGTCCCGGACAAGAAAAGGGGACGGACGGACGGACGGACGGACGGACAAGGCGGCGACTATATGCTCCCCCGAAATTTTTTCGGGGAGCATAAAAATGAATGTATAATATGTAATTTTTAGAATAATACAACTCATATACTTTCGACAGACACTCAACAATTTGTTTAAACATTTACGTATATTGCATCATTCGTTCGTTCGTTCATATATTTATTCATTCATTCATTCACTCATTCATTCACTCATATGAACATCAAGATATGCTTTGTATTTTTCTTTAAAACATTTAAGGTTATTAACATTACGAATATTTAAAGGTATATTGTTCCAAATGTTCATGCCATAATAAGAAAATGTGTCTTTAATATAATTGTTTTAGGTCTTGTCCATAATACAATATCTTTTCGTGACCTAGATCTTAAGTTGTATATTTTGTTGTCTGATAAAGTCATCAGTTCTGTCATATAAGTCGGTGCCATGTTATTTAAAGTTTTAAAAACAAGCACCGCCGTGTGGTATTTACCTCTGTCAAGGAACGGTAACCAATAAAGAGTTTCCAATATATTTATTGACGGAGATCTTTGAGGTTGTTGTAAAATGATTTAAGCAATTCGTTTTTGTAACTTACAAACATTATTTATGTAGTTTGTGTTTCCTTTATCCCATATAATACAACAATAGTCCATAATGGGCAATATATATGCATTGTAAAATTTCAAGAGCTATTTCATTTATCTTAAGAATTAATTTTCTCATAATATTTACTTTTTGTCTTGTTCCTATTACCATACATATTGATTTATCTGGATTTAAGGCCATATTATTTATTTTGCACCATTTGTCAATGTTATTTAAATGATCTTGAAGTTTTATTTCTACTTTTGATAAATTTTCTCCGGACTCATAAAGAGTAGAATCATCTGCGTATAAATCAATTTTATATCATTACCTATGAAAGCTATGTCATTTATGTATATTAGAAATAATAAAGGTCCTAATATTGAGCCTTGTGGAACACCGGAAATTATTTTCATTGGCTGAGATTGAAGATTACCTATCTTAACCAGTTGTATTCTGTTAGAAAGATATGACTTAAAAAACTTAACGGCATTTTCAGAAAAATGATAAAGTTTAAGTTTATGCAAAAGTATTTCATGGTCAACCAAATCAAAGGCTTTCTTTAAGTCTAAGAATACAGTCCCGATAATTTTTCCACTGTCAACATCTTTTAACCAAGTATCTATTAAACTAATGAGTGCAGTATTACATGAATGATTTTTACGAAATCCTGATTGTTTATTATGAATTATGTTCGTTTTTTCAAAGAATGAGTGTATTTGTTTGGCAATATGGCGCTCAAATATTTTGGATATAGTTGACAAAATTGATATCGGTCGATAGTTATTTGCTTCATTCTTATCCCCCGATTTAATAATAGGTATAACTCGAGCCCTTTTTTAATCATCTGGGAAAATATTAGATTTAATACTATTATTGATAATTGATGCAATTATTGGTGTAATATAATCTCCACAATATTTGATGATGTTTGGTCCAATTCCATCTAATCCTGTAGATTTTTTAATATTCAGTTTTTCAATAATAAGCTTTACTTCAAATGGTGTAATTAATATTGCCTAAGTGTAGTTAAATGTTTAATTTGATTTGTCGGCTCTATTATAGTTATAAGCGTTAACTCGGATTTATTTTTTTATTTTTTCGTAAGAATATTTTTTAAGACTTATTTCTAAATCATTTACATATCTAGCCTTTCAAGCGCTTACTACAGGGATATTAAAACAATGCTTTGCTTCTTAACTGCCAAGTTCAATTTATAACATGTACATTTAAGATTTAAAAACAATTGAGAACATGCCTTCAGCATACATCAAGAGATTTCTGTCGACCTCTAATATAATGTGAGTATTTTGCTTATTGGCATTAATATAACTTCATGTAATAAAAATATATCTATGATTTTTTTTTTACAAATCAATTTATATTAAAAAATAACATTCCTGAGCAGTGATTATTTTATAAATGTTAAATATACGGTATGTTGAATTATTATTATCACTTTTAATTTCAGATTGATCATCCGTGCTTTAATACTGACAACTATCATTTTCTTTTTCTCAATGCATTGGGAATTTCAGTCAGTTTTCAATTTATTTGCAGCGAGGAAATATCAAATTCTTCAAAAAAGGTACTTAGTTTTTATGTTTTTTTTTTACTTATAAATGAGAGCGGTGTTTAGTTAATAAATGTTATGTATAAAGGCACTATCTTAAAAGGGTTTAGTATCTTTATCATTAACAGTTCAATAGGTAGAGCGCAGGATTGATTATTTCGAGGTCGTAGGTTCGATACCTACTCTTTTTATTTTTTATAATTTTGTTTATTTGATATATAATTTTTCGTGTACATTAATCTTCTTTCAAAAATGTAATTTTGATGTTTATTCTAGAAAATTCTCTTTTTCAGTAGTTATATATTCTAGATTGTTCATTGATAGCATATGTATGATGAATGTTTAAACTTTGGTGTGTGTGCTTATGTGTACTAATTTGCTACTTTGTGCGATGTTGCTATACTGATTGTGTGCTATTGTACTTATGATATCGTGAAGTTAACATAGGAATATGTTTGTTTGGTTTCTGTAATTCTGTGTAGGAAATGTTTTGGACATATTGTGATATTCTGCTATGGACTTTGGACATTGGTTAAATTTAAGTGTTTGATAACTGAATTCCAGACTGTAAGTTAGACTTTACTTTCATATTTTCATATTAATGTAAATGACTGGGTTTTTTACCTCAATTCACAATTGTAAAATCTGTTGCTGTATTATCTTCGATGTTTATTGGTGTATTCAATTTACGTTTTTGCAGTCTTTCAAAGTAATCTCCTGCTCTCTCTACACACAGTTGCAGTCGTCTCCGCCATTTGGCAAATGCTTTCCAGTGCACTTTTTAAGGTATACCCCGTAACTCTGAATCGACTACTTTTGACATGCTTGACATGCATGTATGTGTTTCAAGCTAAAAGTGTTTTTAGTTAATAAGATAATTAGAAGAAGCATGGTTTTGTGGGAATGAACTTTAAAAAAAACTGGCCGAAGCATTATATAAAAGCATGAGTCGCATGCTGTTTGACAGTTCCTGTGTGTGTTTTGTGTATGTGTCCGTGTGTTCGTGCGTGCGTGCCATAATGTTAAATGCTCAATTATTCAAATATAGTGAAACCACCCAAACAAACATAGCATCAGATCTTGTTTTCTTATATCAAACAGCAAAATAGAAAATTCATGGGAATTACTTGAATCAAACAAATTGTCAAGAATTATACAAAAAAGAATAAAAGACTTGCAGGTATGTTCATGTTTATTTTATGCACTTTGTTAAACGATTTCTGACAACTTTTTAATATATTTAAATGAAATTCTTAGACAAAAGGAATAATTTATTTGTCATTTATATAAAGATGAATGGAATCTTAATATTCGAAACATAATCATTTTAAATACTAAGTGTGTTCCAAACATAATGTCAGTTGATGTTGCTACCAAACGTCAAATTCGATTATTTAATTAAATACCTCATCTACCACCTTTTCAGTCGGTTAAATTAACATTTATAAACCGACAACCGACACTTTATAAGTGAATTTTCAGGGGTTTTTTTAGTTTTGGAAATAAGAAAGAATTCAATGGCAAGGCAGACGAGTCTTACTGAAAGAACCAGAAGGTTTAAGATATACTGTTTATTTTTCAGACGCCAAAAACTTAATTTTTATCTGTGCATGTTAAATGGATATTCAGGCAAAATAATGACAAACATATTAAAATGATCGTATGTACTCAAATCACGCTAAAATGACTTTTCTTGAAGTTTCAGCATGAATTTCTGTTTCAATTCTATATTTTTTGGGTTTTAAGCGTAAATATGTCTATATATGTTGAACAAAATTTAGACGCAAACAGAATCACCAAATAGTTTTAAAACAAGTCAGGTGACTTGAACAATCCCTTGAAGTTACAAAAACAGACATTGTGGATATTGTATGTATGAAACAAGCCTATGTCAATCATTTGACATGTTCTTTAACGTTTCCAGAGTTGTCACTTTGTCAACTATTGTTAAATGCTAGGGCTCTAACCTGACCCACGCGGGTCAAGTTAGGAAACCACCAATTTATTCTTTATATGGAGAAAACTTTTGTTTATTTGACTGTCTAATATATCTATTTTGATGGAATTTACAGAATAAGGTATGAGATATTCAAAACTTAGAAATGAACATTTTGCATGTGTCTCCCTTTAAAAAAATGCATTGAATGGGCTACATTATAAGATGCTGATCTTCTTGAGTCAGAATTATGTAGTAGTCATGAGTTTGAGAAACGCCATTCCTATAGAAGATAACCTAACCCCATCTCGCGGTAATGAACCGTTGTTTGCTATATAAAAGCTTTTTCACTATGCGAAATGTTTAGCAATACATGGTCGTTTTGAATTTTGGTTAAGCCTCTAGTCCATTGTGTCATTTTTTTGGGGCTCATGAAAAATCACGGGAGATCACGTGACTTTGTAAAGTAATACCAATGAGAAAATGGCGACTGCTGAATTTCGGTAAGTACCTTATTATGTTAAATTAAGGTGACAAACATTTTTTAAATCAAAACAACCCTAGCGTATCATATGTGCGGTAATTTTCTTCAATACAAAATGCATTACCCTACGTTTTGTGGTTTTTGAGAACATTGTTTGAATTGTGTGAAAATGCACATTCAGCGATAGTATTATATCGCCCGAAGCGATATAATTTAGTAGCAAAATAAATGAAATTAAGCTTACTTTCTGCACTTAAGACAACAAATCAACGATTTTATTTACATCTGTTATCGTAGAAGTCTATATACAATATATTTTCGAAAATCTGTAGCCTACAAATGCTCTTTGCAAGAGTAAAGTAAGTAAAACGAACAATTTCTGGATAGTTAGTTGCATTAAAATTTGCAAAGAACATTTGTAGGCTACAGACATTCGAACAAAATCTTATATATGAAATTCTACACGAACAGATGCCAATGTAATGATTGACTTGGTTCTTAAGTGCAAAAAGAAGGCTTGTTTTCATTAATTTTGCTACCATCTTATTTGTTTCATTTTCATATGGCATTTGTGTCTATGTATGAATAACCCGTTCATGTAAATTATTTTAATTGATAATAATTCCAAGTTCTCTCTCAATGTGCTTAATAACAAAATTATCTAAAGTCTATGATGTGCGGAACATTTAAGTTATAGACATATTTTTAATACATTCCTTTGACCAACCAGTACTGAGAAAGAAGGTTCTTGCTCAATGAAGCAACGACTTGCTCCTGACCTGGTTTAAACCTTTTTGGTAGCGAGCACTAGCTTGCTTGTCCGATGCAATTGATCATCGGCCTTTAAGCAAGGCATTTTGTGTACAGTGCTATGAATACATAGATAGTTAGTATGTGAGTGATTTATTTCAAAATTTTACTTATCTGTGTTTATTCTATTTGTTTATGTAGATGTGTACACGTCCGCAACCATTTTGACGATATATAACGCACATGGATTTATTGTTTGAACATTCCTTGTTATTTATTGAACGAAATAATATGATTACAACCATAAAATTTACGTAAAGAAAAAAAAAGTTTGCTTTAATGATGATAATCGTCAAACGTAAACACATACATATTATTCATATTTTTTCTCTAGAAATACAGAATTCATTTTCATCGAGTGGCACGGAATTATGATCGGTGGTAGCCTCGAGTAAAATTTCATATCACAAAACGTCCCTTTAAATTTTGTGTATTTGTTGAATTTTGAAGAAATAAATGTACCAAGACACAAGTGAAAATACACAAAAGATGAAAATACAAAAATAAATATACACATTTTATTTCATCAATATTTTATTTACAAGTGTATGATAAACTGCAATGTATACACCTGAAAATAAGTTAAGCACACCCGGCAAGTGGCCTCAAGTTTGAGATGACCACAACTGAAATTAAATTTTAATAAAACAACTGCAACAACTGGAACAAGTTCTGAACCAAGAATGGCAAGATTTATCTCACAATCTCATTAGACGCCTTCTAGTAGTATGAGGCGAAAGATTGAGGCTATCATCCAGGCATGGCAATTACCAACGTTTTTAAAAAACTTGGCAGCATGATGTCATTTTAGGTTACGTAATCGTCCACCAGTATTTTTTTGTAAACGCTCCAACCCCATATTAATAAACACAACAAATTTGCTTATGCTTCAATAATTTGGTTTAGAATCAACTCGACTCAAAAATGTATTAGTTAATGATTATTCAATTGGTATCGCTAATTATCAAATTACTATTTCTTAAATCAATTAAGTTGTCATTTAATGACAGTGCAGTCTCAAAAATTGAAATTTCTGGGTTTTGTTTAACGTATTTCTAGTAGTATATTCCATCTGTAGAACAGTACCAAATCTTACGAAAAGAAAATAACTAAGCAGCACGTTTTATTAATAGCATATTTTGTCTTCATAAAAAGCATGTCTGCTTTTGTCATAATTACACATTTCTATAATTATATATCTTTTTTAACTTGAAGAAAAAGCAATTCATACTTTTTGGTACAAATAAATAATGTTGCTCTTCCTTCGCTTGAATAAAAGTAATCTTGAAGGTAGCCACTAATCTCTTCTGTGTTGGACCGACTTAAAAAAAGAATATGTCAATTGTTCTACTTTTATAACGTTTTGTAAAAATGTGAATTTTCATTAATTTGCATTTTTGTTAAGGGCAATCCATTCTAGCATATCAGCTATTGCCCGTCAAATACACGATAGATGAGTTGTAATATTTATTAATAAAATTGAACATTTATAATTTTGGCAATATCATCAATGGTAAATTGATATATTTGCAGACAAAAGGATTCGAAGCTTATTCTGAATTGGCCTAAATACTGAATACCTTCTCAAATTGATTTCTATGTTTGTCGTGGTCAGATTGCTGAGTCTATTCAGGTATTTTTCATCAAATGGTGTCGCCTTGAAAATGCTGATAGTAATGCTGTTACACGGAAACTTAACATCTTTAAAATTATTAATTCACATTTTTATCGTGGAAATGAACATTATCTGCCACCTTAACCAACACTTACTTTAGGACATCTAAAAGGGGAATTCTAGCTATTCATTAAAATTTGTTAAAATGCCTGCAGACAAGGTGGTTTATAATATTATATTTGTATGATGTATCCATTACATATCGTTTTGCATAAAGAACTTATAATATTATTGTGTATTCTGAAACTTCTGTCTTCCAAAAAGAAATTGTAAACAATCATATCACTAATATTTCTAATCTTAAAGTCAAAATTAATGAAATGAATTTCAAATATTTTTTTTATTGGATTCCTAAATAACATAAGAAAACTTACAAAGCCAGATTCATAGTAAATCCTAACTGTTGCACTACAAGTAAACTTTCTGGGGGTTGTGTTCATTTAACACCGCCTATCCTTGTTGATCTTGTTTATCATATTTTCTATTTCATAGACCGTTTGTTTGACTGTCATTAAAATACATGTAATTAAATATTGTTATTAAGTCTTTGAAAACTGTCTTGTAAAACATTATGCCACGTGGACGAGTTTGTAGAGCGTTTTCTTTTCTTTGAGACAATATGTTTGTCAAAGTTGGTAAAACATTATTTTAGCATTCCTATGGGTACTAACTGTGCACCTGTGTTTTTGTACTGCTATGAAAAAGACTTTATATTGATTGTTTCTGAACATACACAAAATGTGTTAAAGTAGCATTTTATAATACTTCCAGTCTGATTTTTTATGGCGAAATTATATACGAAAGATCTTAGGTTATGGTAATGTTCTTTGGGGGTTTTACTTAAATCATTAAATGTTTTATTAAAACAAGTTCTGACTCTACTATTTAAAGACATACTAAGTGTTCAACTGTTTAACAGTTGGGCACTACTCTTTACAATTTTGATTACATGTGACGGACCAAGAGGAAGACTCACTGATAGACAGTGCAGCCCTCTTGGAGTAAATTATCTGAATGTTCGTCTTCTATCTTGCTTCTTCGGGCCCGTGAAGGTGATTTTCATGTTGCTCTGTCTTCTTTTAAAACAATGAGTACCTGTGTTATGGTCATTTGGTATAAGCAGTGCTTATGTTGCTGACCATTCCAAGGCGCCGCCCCTCTGTGTTCCTCATATGTATGTCTTTGTTGTTTTATTATGTTATCTTGACACTTTTATTTGTTTCCTTGTTGTGTTCTCGTCTGCAAAATTTTCCCTTTTACCTCTAGTTTTTTAGCTTAAGACGTCCATGCTCTGCCCTGTATCCTTAACTGTTTTGTTTAGGGCCCACCTGAGCTCCTTGCCGCAAGTTCTTGTGTCTGGATGTTGGGGTGGCGTTCATTGAACGTCGCATTTCCTTATTGAGCTTGTCTATCATATTCTGTGTTTTTATTAACACCTTTCTGATAACAATATTTATTTGATAACAGAATCCAAGTAACTGCAGAACTATGAAGAAGGTACTATGTAAACTTCCTATAAGTAAGTATCATTTTTGCCAGTATGTACTGTAGATTGCTGTTGACAACAATTTTCCTTTATTTTTAACTATGAATTGTATGATTTAGAAATATTTTTTATTGAATAATTCATTTGGATTTAGAAAAAAATGCGTTTTACTTTTCCGTTAAAAATCGTTCACTTTACATCGTTTTTTTAGTAAACGCTTTCTGCATATTCGTATTTACTAGGTGGATTTGGCAGTCAGGCTCATTTGCTAACTATATGCTTTACCGTTGGATTCCATACTCAAAGAACTGTAATATTGCTTTCAAATACATCACAGTATTCAACAGATGGCTGGGAATCTTTCATGTTGCCATTAAGTGATACTTGTAAAACTATCGGCCTTAACGATACAGTTGTCAAAGTATCAAGTAAGACATTATCATACTTATGTTTCAGAACAAAGACACTGTATGAAATAGTTAAGATCTTAATGCGTTAAAAGTAAAAATGAAATAAAATTTTAAAAGTTTGGAAACAATAATTCAAACACTATATTTATAGGAAATATTCTCAAATTCAAGCAGAGAGAGAATTTGTTATTTCCTTTTGAACTTAGAATACTTATTTAACATTTCTTTTTTTATTAAAGCGTTAATGTTTACCTAAAAGAGGGATGATCCAAAATTTCCCGGAAATCTGATATTGAAAGTTGATGATATTCAGGTCGTCTTAAATGATTTTTTACCTGAGAACATTAAATGTTTTATTAATCTAATTTAAATGTCGTTTATTTAATGTTGTCCAGGAACGTTTGGTCCGCCTTAAATAGCTATGGTAAAGCCATAACAACCCAGTTCATCAAAGGCAATGTACGTTGAAATTTTTTAACGCAATACAGTATCTTATATAAACATGAATCCTAAAATCACTCGATCTTGATGTAAAGCCTGAACATTTTCATTCATTTCCAAGTAATTCTTACTTCAGAATTTGGAAAATCGGAATTCGAATGTTTATTCACTGAAAAACGTCGTCAATGCAGTCAGAAAATCTTTTTCTGAAACATTTAAAATGATAAAAAAAAATAGATAAGTTGACTATGAAATCAAACAGCAGTATACATAATAAAAAAAGTTGAGCAAATATTAAAGATGATACAGGTTGCTGGGTTAGAAAATAGAACGACCTCGGCGTTAAGGTTTATTGACCATGAGGTGCTTGGGAACAACAAGAGCTGCTGTTGTGTGAGGCCCGGCCTAAATATTCCTAAAGTTGAGCTTCATCAAAATTTAACTGAAGAAAATGCAATTTTCCGTAATGTTTTTTTATATATTGTTTCTTCTAACTAAAATATTAAAGGAACAAGCAAAATAATATTACAATTACTTTTTTATTAATATTAAAGAGTGGTACATAAATACAATTTATGTAAGGTATGAACGGGATGGTCTCGACCCCCTTATACTTATCACAAGGGATAACCGGGTTACCTAGTTAGGGTTTCAAACCAAAATTTTAAGATGGACAAAAACTTGCAGATGAATTTAAATAGAATGAAATATTTACTTTCAAAAATATAACATAGATAATTACAGTAAACCCTGACAACTGAAATCAACTTTTTTTCTGTTTTTTTCGGACTTGTTTGTGTCTAACATCTTATAACATCACGAACCAGCATGTTTAAATGAATGATATTACAAACTTAAATTACTATTTCAACTCTTTTTACATGGAAACGTTCAGTTTTCCTATTTTCCTCACACTTAAATCACAGCAGAATTGTAAAAAAGTTTAGATTTTTAGCAGACGTTTGCATATCTACATCAGCAATTATTCAACCTACTACTTTCAGTATGAGAAAATGATTATTCTCTAAAATAATTAATTTGTATTCGTACAGATCCATATACTTCGTAATCATATGCGTGTGGTTTTGACAACGCCTATGAGGTTGACGAAATATATGGACCACACTTTATGCTATATTATCTCTAATATATTAACTCTAATATACATAAATTAGTGAAAATATATACACTTGTTAAAATTAGTCTACAAATTTTATTAAGTTCTTTAAAAACAGATATTATACCCATTAAAAAGTATTTGACCAAACAAAATAAAATGTTTTACTCGATTCCGGATTATTCAGGATCATCCCTCGTATTGTATAGAATTAAAACATTACACGTCTTCTCTGTGAGTGATAAAATATTATTATTAGTGTTATGATTATTATTATTTTTATTATTATTATTATTATTATTATTATTATTATTATTATTATTATTATTAGTATCATCATTATCAAATTTGAACATAGCCGATTAACACTGTTCAGACATTCAGATAGAAATAATTTCGAAATCTCGAATATATTTAAAGCGAAGATTAATTCGGCTGCTGCCTTTTGTTTTATGTCATTCTTTATCTAATATGTATTATCAATTATGAAACAAACAAATGTATAAGCAAACTTTTAGATACATGTATCTATACATAATCATTTTATCATTAAAAAATACACACAAACAAATAAAAACAATATTTTGTTTAGACTGGATTGCATTGTCTTTGTACCGGTACTCGTAAAATCAATCTTAAAATGACTCAATTCATGTTCCCTGCCTTACATATCAAAGATAAGAAATATCAAAAAACTTTTTAATTGTTGCTAAAAATGTATTTATCTATCTTATCGAAGAGACTAATTATATATAAATGAACTGAACAGCCACCTATACATGTAGTTCCAAACCACCGTTGATTTGCAGCTCAACAGCTTTTTGACTTATTTTTGTATACTAGTAATTACACAATTATGGATTGATTTTTTTTAAAAGGGTCTAAATCAGCTTCAAATGTATTTCAGATTTGACACAAATTGATAATATATCGGTGATAGATATAGACTTGGCACATAAATATATCGATTTAACGGATGCGTTACCACGTGATTTATTTCTAAGAATTAAACAATTTAATCCAAATCCGTCATTATGGTGGGCAGGACAGATAGCATTGTATGTATTCAAACCAACAAAGAGCTTTAAGCATTTTCTTGATAAAAGACAAAAGGAATTCGGAATTGAAAATGTTTTTGTTGGGTAAGAATATTGTATTTCGTTTCCTTAAATTAACGAATTAATAAATGTTAGAAATTGATCTTATTTGGAACATACAAAACATACTAGGAAATAAAACGTTTAGCACCTTAATGGAAACGAACAGCAATAATAATAAAACAATTGGGCAGTGATTTTGTGTAGTAACACTTTTCAGTATTTCAGAAACTAGTTTGAGCACTGACCATAACTCCAGAAGAAAACAAATTACCAATTTTGTACAATAGTTTTTACTAGTCAATATTTTATTTCATTTATAAATATAATATGCACAACTTCAGCAGTGCCATTTTTATGTAATTTTTTGTTGAGATATAGATATTAGTTACATGATATATATTTGAAAAATAAACGTTTGAGTCATTTACTGTTATGCTATTTCGAAAAATAGCAGTTTTAACCTTATAAAAGCTTGAAGAATTTAAAAAGACTGCATCTGTTGGCGTTTAAGTATTCTTAGTCTAGAATATACTGCTCAAGAAAGAATCGTCAAAGTTCCAAATTTATAGAGAATCAAAATCCTTAAACAAATGACCAGAAAGGCAAAAATTAAAAATGTTGCAGTTTTGTATGGATTCAGCCTTTTCATGAAATGTACTGGAAGCACCCAATTAAAAAAATGTAAGTCTAAAAAAACACAATAATATCGTGCTCAAATATGTGTTATAATCGGAAATGTAACATCTCTGACTGAATGTACGTGTCGCCTTTTAACGACCTTCGCACGGCACATACAACACTGATGTTGCGATAAAAGCTTAAAACGGCAAAATAGAAAACGTTGCAGGCTTGATTGAGATTTTTCATAAACGGTTTTGTCAAGTGCAAACTACAAATTTCAGTCAACATGATCAGAATTTAGAATTTTGTTTCACATTCGTTTATTAATTGTTACTCTATGGAACGCCATAGCTGCCTCATGTAATTACATTTCTTTTTATCTTTCACATAAAGCGTCTTATTATGTCAAAAATAAGAGTTATAATGTCATTGTCATTTGTCGACATGTCTAAAAATTGCGTAATGTCCTGTATTACGTAACAGTAGTCTTTTCTCTTTAAAATGTTATGTTGACTTGTGTTTAAATTGTTAAATTATTTCAAACAGTAGCGTTATCATGTCAAAATGTCGTTTTGGCTTGTCTCAAATGTGTCATTTTATGTCAACTAGTCGCGCTATTTGGTCAAATTGTGGAGCTGTTTTGCCAAAAATCTGTCTTATCATTTGAAACAGTAGTGTTCTCTTGTCAAAATCTTGTGTTGATTTGTAAAAGCAGCTTTATTTTATCAAACTGTCATGCTATTTTGTCAAGATACGTTGTTTAAATGTCTCAACATTGTCTTATTGTGTCAAAAAACTGTGTTAATTGCCAACGTACAAGCTTGAATTGACTTTTTTATTATACTACGAATTTATCTTTTGCCAAAAATGGCGTGGTTAGTTGGCTAAGTTTTCATGCCTTTAATATTGATTCGAACTTGGTATGCTATTTTTGTCAAAAAAAGCGGTTTTCATACTTGGTTTTTGACATCTTTAAAAATAAAAAGTTTTATAAAGGTAAAAAAAAAACAAAAAGGGGTTCTTGTCAAAAAAAAATGTGGGTAATGACCTGTCTAAACCTATTTTTTACTTTAATGTGAAAAACAAGTATTGTTATATTTGTCGATATTTTGATTTTTGTTTTATTTTTAAACACAGAAAAAACATCCTTTGAGATTAGTTGTGTAAAATTTATTGTGTGAATTTGTTCACAAATTTTGTTCTGAAATGTTTGAGAAAGCGCCTGTCTGATTTTACTAAACTGTCCTGTTTATCTTTTTTGCTTCTATCTTTTCACGCTCCGCGGGGCTCTTTGGGTGACGTTGATAAAAAGTTTGACAACATCGCATCCTGGAATAGGATTAACACGGGATTAATCTACATAAATTGATATTACACAACCGACGGTAACGTCCCATTAAATGGCAAGTCAAATAGCTACCTGATTACATTATTAATATTACTGTATGGAAAAACAAAAAAAACCCACAATTTTGAAAAGGAAAAAAAATATTTCGCCATAAAGGACGATGTTTAGTTAAATTAACACCAGAACCTTTGATAAAAATTAATTGAATTTTTGACAAAAAGATTTGTAATTTTAGACAAGTCATAATTAAGTTTCGAGAACAAAAAAAAAAACAAAATGACTTTTATGTATTTTGACTAATAAGACGAAATATAGACAATGAGTCTGCATTTTAACATGGAAATAGGCATGGCAAATTTTGAATTGAAAAAAAGCGTTTTAACAGTTTCGTAACCATTATTTGTCAGATACTACCGATTATTTCACATAAGTTAGACGTTGTTTTTAGGCCGGTGTTTAGAGATGTCAATACAACTTTCGACAAGTCAACAATACTGTTTGAAATAATAAAATAACGTTTTCACAAACAAAATTAATTGGCAAGTCAACATAGGGATTTCACTTAAAAAGTATATTTTCAGATAGGATAACAACAGTTTTAGACAAGAAAGCATGATGTTTTGGCATTATAAGACAGAATAACACCACCTCATACAAAGCAACATAACAACTTAACAAAACAGGAAAGCACTCAACCATGTCAATATAACAGTTAAACAAGATATCACTACTAGCCGACATAATTAGACATGAGTTTGACACGTTGACACCAAGTTTCGACAAGATAACAGTACTGTTTCACATTATAAGACAATCTCAGACACACTACCACCACAGTTGGACAGACAGCATGATATTTTGGCATAATAGATATTGTATAAGCAAGATAACACCGAATAAAAACATAATGATATGGCAGTCTGACAAAATGTGACGGTGTTTAGACAAGTTAATGCCACATTTGGACAAGCTCAGGATCATATTTGGACAAGATGACACTTACTTCCGACGAGAAAACACTACTGTTTGACATAATAAGACAAATTTAAGACGATTCAACACCACATTTAAACAAGTCTGTGTTCCGACATATTGAAATCTTAATTAGAAAAGATGATGGCATGTTAGACATATGAGCCGTGTAACGACAAAACCAACATAGTGGGTTTGCGACCAGCATGGATCCAGACCAGCCTGCGCAATCCGTGCAGTCTGATCAGGATCCATGCTGTCGCTAGCAGTTTCTGTACTTGTTATAGGGTCTGTTAGCGAACAACATGGATCTTGATCAGATTGTGCGGATGCGCAGGCTGGTCTGGATCCATGCTGGTCGCAAACCCACTACGTTAGTTTTGTCGTGACGCGGCTCATATAAAGACTTTATCTCGCTATGTTACACTGTATTTGCACATGATAACATAACGTTTTGAAATAATAAAGCAGTGTTTAGACAAGTCAGCATTACATTTTGACAAAAAATATATTTAACCAAATAAGACTTTGTTAAGACAGGTCCTCATAAAATGTTGTCAAGCCAACACTTCTATAATACATAATAGAAACGTCTTTAAGGAAATAAATCGAAATGTAACAAACTTGATCGCAAAAACGATCGACCGTTCGCACTAATTACTCGGTATCTTTTACATAGGGAGGTTGATATATGTAGATGTGTATTTTCATTTATGTTTGATATTTCAGTAACAAGAAGCCAACATTTCTTAAATCTAAGAATTCTAACAACGTTTTGAGTAAATTAATTGTAAAAAATAACACATTTTGATAAAAATATCACATCAGTGCATTTGTTATTTAGAGTTCATATCCGGAGAACTGACAAAATCAATGAGGCAAACTACGTAAATATAAGTAAATACATGGACGTCGTTGAACAATGGTATACAATGTATGAAAAGAGTCACACTGGAGTAGAGCGTAAAGTTTTCTTGGCTACAGATGAACCCGATGTTGTACGCTGTGTCAAAGCAAGGTAAAGCCGTATATATAGATATAACAGTTATATCAATTGTCTAAATTATAATCTATCATCATATTGATCACTTTGACTAGTGTTGCTGAACTTGACAAATATTCATATTACTTTTTTAAATTCTAATACATAAATTAAATGAAATCAAAATAAGAATGCACACTTTAAAATTTGACAAGCTACAAACATATCTCATTTGCTGCTTAAAATACAAACTAGATGTTGAAAAACAAAACCATCATAACATTTAACTAAGAAATGAATAGCCAGCATAATTAGGTTTTTGGATTGCTGTAAATTATTTTATGAACTGTATTAATAATACAGCTATCTGGTGAAGTTTAAAACACTCTTAATGATAGATTTCCTCTCTGATGACGAAGTGTTCCATTCTTTGAGTATTCATTCTTTTTGAAATAAAGATCATTTACCACTTCGGAGGATGGAAAGTTTGTATCGAAATCATGACTAAGTAAAGTTCTACAATCTTGTTTCTTATCTCAAAATAACGTCAGATATTAAGTATATTGTTATCATGATGATCAAAGGATAAACGGGGTTTTAATAAATAAGAACTTACGTTCGAGTTTCATTTTATTGACAAGATGTTGCAAATGTTGGGATACTTCTGAAGCCCAGCGTACAAATATATATAAAATGTTAGTAGTAAATTAGTTTAATATTTTCATCTCTAAAATAAAACACAAGTTCTATATTTTCTTTCATGAAGCTATCCAAACTATCAATTTATAAACGATTTTAACGCAACGATAGCAGCAAGTCAGAAAAGTACTAGATATACAATTCACTCGTTAAAGACGATAATACAGGACATTCACTTTCTATCTATGAGTGACTTTCTCGTCTGTACAATGTCCTCTAATGTAAGTTAATATTTTGATAATTTTGACATAGATTTTAAAATAATTACATATAGAACATACGGAAGTGTTGTGTTGCGGGTTTAAATTTAACAATGATACAATCACATTGTATTTCAGAGTTTGCATTTTAAGATGCTATCACAATTTTGATACTTTTTTATAGCCATCGGTTATTGTTCTGACAGATCACTCGTAGCAGTTAGAGTAGTAAAAAAAGTAGTACTGAAACAAACGAGCATTATTTATGTAGATTTTTATGTAATGAAAACTTTGTAAAAACAGTTTGCTGGTAAGTTTGATTATCTAAATTCTTTCTGTTTTCAAATGCAATCGGGCTGTTCAAGTATAAATCATAATCTATAAAATCTGAAATATTTACAAAAGTAATGGATTTTTTTTTCTACAACTCGAGCATAAAGGCATGTTCTATTAAATAATCATCATAATTCTAGCATTGCCTACAGCTGCTACAAATGTTGAAATGTGGTAAAACAGTTTGAAATAAAACTATGACCAATGAACATTACAAATTTGCACAATTGAAAGGGCAATCGGCAAGAAAGGCGCTCATTTTCTGCTGGCACAAATGATTCAAAAACCGTAAAGTAATCACTGACAGAAAGAGACATAGACTTAGACTAGAAATTGACAAGACGTGTGTGCTATCATCATGACCTTTGTACAGAATCGCAAATAGAAGAATCGACGTTATTCATTTCTTTAAATATTCGGTATATTTAATGTTAGCATAGGACTTTCTATTTATTCAGAATATATGATAGATGTACGTTTCTTTTATATACTTTTGTATTCAATTTTTGTTTTAAATATTTGCATATTTAAACCATCTATCGAAATACGCAGTAATTTTTAATATAATTTCCCTTGTTGTTTTATAAATTATAGCGCATTTTAAAGAAAAAAAATATTCTGATTGATCAATAATTAATATCCTGTTTGTGTTCGTGTTTTGAACTATTCAATTTTGCCGTGTTGGGCTTTCTGTTAATGGGTTCTGTTTTTCTCTATTTCATTGCCTCATCCATGTATTTTGTGCCGTGTCGCGGCTATAAAAAGTTCTTAGTTTTTAGTTTCCTGTATTTAGCCTCTTTGGAGTTGGAAGCTTCCAATATTTCTATCTAAATACTGTATAATCCTCTTAGGATATGTTGCCTGCTTTTTAAATTTGTCTTTTGACGTCTTGTCAGTGATATGCAGGCTTCATAACCTCGGATTCCTTTTTATAAATTCCATTTTATTTTGTTCCGTCCATTATTTTCTTGTTTAGGGAACCAAACTTTGCTTGTCATGAAATGACACTATTGTGTCACATAGAAAGTTCCATGATAAATGCCGTTTGAACACATCTTCGGATGTTTCTTAATTCAACATTCGCCTGTTTTGTGTTTTATGTTGAATTCTGATTTAGCCGGTGCTAGCGGGTGCAGACGGTAACTTGCACTTTCCAATGCGGTTCATGAACATGCTCAAATAAACCGAGACTGCTATATTTTACAATTATGCCGTCTTTGAATTTCTTAAGGGAGTTTGTTTTTCTCTATTTTATAGCCAATTACATTTTCTTCAGGTGACCGATCCAATTATTTTCCGGGATTATTCACAAATCCATAAATAAGCAGAAATGACCGATTGTTTAACTCTTCTTCAGAGAGTGACGATAGACATCACCCGACAGATAAACCGCTGATTGGTGTAAGGATATACACGAACAATAGGTTCATGTCACAATATGTGCATAAAACATTATTTGAGACAGAATGACGCTAGTGACATTTGTATCATTTTGCGTCGCAATGATTATCATATGTTTTAGTGAGAAATGCTTGCTAGAAAGATCGACTAAGTAAATATATTTTGAACAGTAGAACGATAGTCCTTAACATTTTGAACATGTTCACATGTCCTGCAATATTGAATAATATAACGTTTCATGTAGATAATCTATTATAGAGAACCGATTTTGATTATTAAAATGTGAATACTTCATTTAAGGATGCAAATAATAATGGATTTTAAAACTTTCTGTATGTATCTATAGAAAGATCTATAAATTGTTTTCTTGAATTACAAAAAAGAGATAGTTGAAGATCGTGACGATGTCATTAATATGTTAATGCAATGATTCGTTGCATATGGCAGATATATAAAATTCTGGAAACAAAGTGAAGCATTCCCTCCGAAGCATTAATCACAACAAAATAACATAAGCAGACTCGGATTGAGTGAGTCTGTACATGAGGGATAATAAATGAGTGCAACATCCCTCTAGCCCCCCTAGCACAGGCTTGAGCAGTACTCAATTTTCAACACTTTATAGTGTTAGCATCAATGATCCCGAAGGACCAGAAAATATAATAACACTGAATTGAAGTACGGGGCAATTTTTTACGGCTGCCACATGGCACTTGACACCTGCTGTTGTGAATTGCAAAATTCTTGAAACAAACCTTATAAACCTTTCTTTTTAAGGTATCGAGAAATAAGCAAAATTTATTCTCTGAAATTCATCTACTTTAAATTAAATGACACGTACTCTTCAATCAATTTAATGAAATGTTTTTGTAACACTTTTTAATTCTTTTCAGGTTTGTCGACTGGCATATGAGTTGATGCAAACACACTATGGGAACGCTTCAAGAAATGTAAAATCTCTTGATAAATGCTACTTTATTTACGGCTTAACACCATATTTTTGTTAGCAATTTAAAATATCTCATGACTATGATTGACACTTTGTTGAAGTGAAAGCAAAATGATAATTTTATTTTTATTGTTTTTGTAATATTGTCTTTGCTTTTCATATATCTGCATTAGCATATTTATGGAAATTTAACTAATTAATCCCCTTCCTCGTAGTGGAAATGGGATTATTGGAATGACATCCGTCTGTTTCTCAGTCAGTCCTTCTGTCTGCCGCACTCACAGGACAGTAATGATGTGGCTAGTGGGACAATTGGTAACTGTTCTGTCTTTTTGATGTCATTCATTCCGTTATGCTTTTATGTGGTTATTTTCTTTTGTGTGGCTAAAAAGAACAATGGGGAGAACAATATAGTTGCCACATTATTACTCTTTTGTTAGAACATCCGTCTGTCCGTCCGTATCATTTTTGAGTACGCTCATAATTTTTTGAACCGCTGATTTTTTTTTAAAAATAAGTGGCACAAATGATCACCATAAAAAGGCAATATGCAGAGCGCAAACATTTGGTTGCTTCATCCAAGGCCCCGTTAACAATTAAATGTCAAGTGTTAAAAAGTCTACGTTTTATGTCCGCTACTTAACTTTTAAGCCGCTTAGAATTATCTTAAAAAGCTTGGCATAAGTGATGATCATTATAAGTGCAGAGCGCAATTATTAGGTTGCTACTTTCAATGTAAAGGTCATTAATAAAGTTCAAATGTTAAAAAATGTACATTTCATAATAAAAATAAACATTTCGTTTCCGCTTCATAACTCTTTAACCGCTGATTTCTTTTAATGAATAACTTAGCAAAAGTGATCAACATTATAAGACCATGGGCAGAGCGCAAAAATTGGTTTGCTTCTCCCAAGGTTCTGGTCACTCCCGAAGGTCAAATGTAGAAAAAGTCTATATTTCTTGTCCGCTCCATAATTTTTTGAACAGTTGATTTTTTTAAGGTCAAAGTTACATGTCAAATGTGAGAAAAATCTACATTTCGTGTTTATCCAATAAAATTTAAACCTCTACAATGCTTTTTAGATTAACTTGGCAGAAATGATCAACATAATAACACTATTCGCAGAGCACCCTTATCAAGTAACAATCCTGAAGGTGAGGGTCACACTAAAATTTCCAATGTAATATGTTATTGACAATTTAAAGGCTTCAAAATTACTTAACAAAAATGACCTTAATGACACAGTCTGCAGGTTGCAACCCTAAACGTCAATGTTATATGTTCCCCCGAACTGTTTGACTTTATTGAAGAAATTTATATAACTTGACACAAATGATCACTATCGTGATACTATGTAACTATGATATGCATTGCACAACATCCAAGTCTTGGTTGGTAAAAGGTCAATAAGTACACTTTCATGTTCACTGTGGAAAGTGATTTAGCTTTCTTTCAAACAGCCTTGTTAAATTTAAAATTTAAATTTTCAGAATTAATGTTAACTTCGACCTTCAAATCTTTGACATTAGATATTATCTCCTTCTAAAACATGTGTTAATATTTTTCTCAGATACTAGGGTTCTTAAGCCAATAAATAATGAAGACGGTATCGATATCAATATGATGTTCTACCTCATTATAAACTTGTTTGTTTATTGATAAATGAACCGTTTGCATAACATAAATAAATGTTAATTGGCGGAATGGAAATCCATATTACAAACATCTTATTACATGTGTGTCAATGTTTTCCTTTGACGACTTTTTGATTACCAAATACGTTTTATTATATCATGAGAAAATAAGGAGTAAATTAAACTAAGATATCTTGAGGAATACTTTATACAAAATTGATTTTTTTAAGTCCATATCATCACATCAAGAAAATGCACGTTAGATTACATTATAAAGATCTTCATATTTATTTCCAATAAAATAGAAAAAAATAGGTAGTATATTTTACGTAAATAATATTTGAACTTGTTAAAGCCGTGAGTGCACACTTTCCCAAGATATCTTTGTTTGCTCATTTGTTTCGTAGGTGAATATATAAAACTTAAACGTGTACAAAAGTCCATATTTTCTCACTTGAAAAATGTGGCAACCTCTTTACAAATTGGTTGCATTATATAATTGTTTTGGAATTTTTCTGACAGTATTCGTAAATCACCACTTCTAAATTTGTGAGACAACAACACTGAAAATGACAAATTGATACCTTCTTTTACACGAATAACCTATTTATAGTAAACATTTATTTGTCAGGGAACCAAGTCTTGCAAGACCATACGTTTCAAAGTGTAACATGTTGTATAACAACCCGCTTCTCCCAATCACTGTGTCTTAATAGTTTTACTCCTAAATGTCTAGTGAAGAACAGGAAATCGTTTAAATTTTTATCAGGCTTTCGTTTCATTAATTTATTGTGAAACGAAAGTCGATATTTGCTGACCTTTTATGCAAAGGCGATGATTTATCAGTCATTCATAAATTTCATATTTTTTTCTGAAATGACTTTAAACGTTAAGTTGACTTTTATCCTGTATCAAAAAGCAAAATTCAAATCAATATTTTAATTCCTAATGCAATAATTGTTCATCACAAAATAATCGTAAAACAGACTTTCCTTATGTTTATGTTCTAGTCAAACATATTTTATAAGAGAATATGTATCTTAATAAGAATTACTTCACTAATTTACTTAATTCTGTATAATTCTCACCTAATATGCAAGAAACTATGTGAAAAGGAATATACATATATCACATTTGGTTTGTAATGAATGTGTTTGTATATGCTAACTATATATTTTTATGTTGTGCAAATTGAAATAAATATTGTTTAAGCTAACATTACATAATGTATATTTTCAGTTTGTCGAATTTTATTATACATCCCTTAATATAGATTTATTGAACTATGTAATGCAGGTTTGATTTTTTGAGTTCTTTCATAAACGTTTTTGGTATATGAAGTTTACCGTAAAGGCACGCCGGCACCACTGAGTATCTTACAATATGTTAAAGGATAAATTTCCAGGCAAAACACTTACAGTCGTTTAAAATTATACATGTACATTCCTCGTAAGGATAGCATCGATGGGTTATATTTCAAAACTATTAAGATTCATACGAGGAGGTCTGAAAACAAATGCTAGTTAATTTGTTTCTCCACAGCTCTTGGTAGATTCACTAATTTCTTCTGTTTTGCACTTTGAAATATCTCCACCTACCTGTACATACCATTTCAGACGGTCGGTCCACCTTTTAAAGCACTGACAGTAACTGTTACTGAAAAACTGCAGATCCGAGGGAGTTTCTAAAATTATATTTCCTTCCAGATAGATGACAGTTTTGGATACAGGAAATATTCGCAAGAGACAATATATGGTGTAGAAGGGTGGGGGTGAGGGAGAACTTTGGAGAACCAATCCCAAAACTCAGGCACGATGAGTGCCTTATGTGCTGGTGCGGTATTATGCAGGAGTCTAAGGTATTAAATACATTCTTGTCGCTGCGAGTTTGGTGGATCTTCTTCAATTTTCTTAATGCAGCATTTCTAATAATCTTCTACAGAACTTTGCTGTTACTGTTTTCCTTCTTGCACAGAATTTGAAGCATTTGACCCTTACTAGTAAAGAAAAGAACATACATAATCTTCTTGACCGTCCGTGTTTGTTTGGCAATAATTGAACGTTTTGTATTGCTTGTGGGCCTAACTCTGTCTCAACACTGCCGCTAAGGTGAAAGTAGCCCCTGTTCCCAGCACAAGTGACTAAACCATCAAAGGTCCTTTTGCTATACCCTGAGAACATTTAAAGCATTTTTGGCGACTGCGACCCGGGTCCTCTTTTGATTAATTGTCACTATTGAGGTATCCATCTTGCATTGATTTTTGCAGTTCCAGGTGAATCTTAAAAATGTAATGAACTTGTGATAACGACATGTTTGTGAACCGGGAAAATTGTCTCACGCACAATCTGGATTTTTTTTAGCAAATCGCTGATTTTGTTTTTTGATGTTACACTCGGTCGTAGTCATTTCAGGTCGACCATAACGAGTAGAAACTTTAAGTTGCTGTAGCCCGCTTTAAAATTGTGCCACCTACTTGTAAACCGTGTTGAAAGACATTTGTTCCCCCCCCCCCCCCAAAAAAAAAAAATTATATCGCATACCTCTCTGTGAATATATGTAGCTTTAAAGTCAAATAACGACCTACATTTTATATTAGTTCTAACTTCGAGCACATTTTCAGCTCGTTAACGAGGTATTTTTTTTGCAGTCTAACGAGTAGGCCTTTAAGTAACGTGAACTGTACCGAAGTAAGGGATGTTATGAGATAGTGTTTAGATGTGATACGCACAAATGGTTACTATATCGACACGAGGTTGCTTTAATCGCTGTTTTGCATGTTTTGCGCGAGACAAAGATCCACTTGTATTATGTTTCGAGCGCTCCTCGTACAAGAGAATTTATATTGTTGTTTTTATGAAATATATCACAACTCTTACGCCAATCTAGTAAGTTGCAATGTAGAGTGTCTTTAATAAATATAATAGTAAATTCGAAATGTTAACCTAGAAGTTAATACAGGCTTTCATTATTCTGTCAAATAAAAATAATCAGAAATCGGAATCAGTAGGGATACATAAATCAGGTTGTTACATAGATTTTACAGCATTGTTATAATAGTTACCAGAGTTTTATAGTGAAATGAAAAGTTCATATATAACTGTTACAAATGTTACAGCACTAACCTTTATAAACGTCAGAAATCGGTTGTAAAATTGTTACTAAATATGACGGGAGTTGATAGTATAAATTTCATACTGAGTTGTTACAAAGGTACAAGTTTTACAGCAAAGGCCCAAAAAAATGGTCAAACAAAATCTGAATTATTACTGTAACATGGTTATAACGTTATTGTTACATTTAATATTCCTAGAGTTGAAGGTGAAATAAAAATGGTATTAGATTGTTACATAGTGTTACAAGTATAACAGTCCAAGCCTTAAAAACGGTTAAGAATCAGAATTATTAGGGTTACATATTTGTCTTTCACGGAGGTAAGAAATGTTAGACAGGTTTTTGGAAGCACTCCAAAGAAAGTTCAAGGTCCTGCTGACAATGTCCTACAAGCGATACATCTGATAATTATGATCCCAAACTACATGGTAGACATGGTAAAAGAGAATATTTTTGACTTAAGATTGCAAATCTACAATAAATTATTCAATCTGCAATATTCAGGCAGTCAAAAAATTTACAACTCGCTCCGTTGAAGCTCATAATATACAGTGGCCCAAGACCCCAAAAACCTCAATTTGTCCCTCGGCAAAAAACCCATCCTGGAAATATATAGGTTAAAAGAAACACCATCTCTGCATCAGCAGCTCCCTTAACATTTAAAATATCACAACAACAGGTGTTTGACATTGTAGAATTTTTGCTTCTGCTTAAAGTTGGTATCCTTTTTCAAACGATTTTTTTTCTACCGAGCATGTTTACAAAAAAGGCGGCCTTTTCACCTAAAATCAAAAGATCGTGATTTCTGGCAAGTGTCTCGAATTTGCAGGTGATCATGCCTTATGTCATAAATCAAATTTCATGCTGACAATCCACTTTAAAAAACAGACAGTTATTTAAATCCAGAAAAGTCACTTAATCCAAGAAAGCCTCCCTGGCTATTTGAAGCTTCAATTACTAGTGAGTGCTTACCTTTTCTAACACCTGTGTAACAGTGTTGGTGCTATCACTTAAAATATTAATAGATACTACCTCATGCAATGGTGTTTGAGATTTGTACAATGTTACACTTACTTTACTTTTATAATGCACAAAGTTGATCTCTTTCAGGTTTAGGTGCTCAAAATTGTTTAATATGCTAAAACGTAAAATAAATGGTATTTAAATGAAAAGAAAATGAAATATAATTATTTCTAAGTGTATTCCCAGTGTACAGTGAAATTACATTTTGATTATTTCGCAGTGAAATTAAGAAATCTTTACAGTAGTCGGTTAATATCTGAATGTGGATAAAAAGAATAAATTTTTAATAAGTGGTAATAATATCGTCGAACATACACGTTATCGTGCTTAGAATTAGCTTAATTATTATATACATAGAGAATAACATGCTACTGTCTTTAGATATCTATTTTATCAGGCGAGGCTGATATGGTTAGAAAGGGCGATGCTTGCCGAGCCCTTTCTGCCCATATCAGCCGAGCCTGATAAAATTGATATCAAAAGAAAGTAGCATGTTTTTCTACTTATCATGTAACACATAATAACTGTCAAAATAACAAAATTATCTACTTTTAAATATCGAATTTCGTTAAGAAGGGGAATTTTTGTTCAAGGAATTAATTCTTGAAAACAAATTCCTCCGCCCCTGACACTTAGAATTTGTTATTGGCGGCCATTTTTTCTTTCGACTCGGATAAAAGTTACAGCAGAATGTAGGCCTAATACGATGACATTCTTACCTTTAATTTAAATATCGATCCAAAAATCCGCTTAGAATCACATAAACTTAACTTTACTGTGCAATATTTGTCTTGAGTTGTCAAATTCAAAAGTTCACGATAATTTCAATCAAAGAAAAGTCAAATCGGCAATCAAACACAAGCTACACAAACATGCGTCTTATTTTTTAAACGAAACAAGTTGTTCACTTGTTAAATAATAATCCGGCAAAATAAAGTAAACATTTACAAGTTCTCAAAGAAAATTGTCAGCCTGTTTGTCATGATTACATGACGTCACATTACGATGATGTCATTTGCAATATAAATTAAGACGTCACTTCATTTAGTTGGTGCTAAAACTATTCGCTATCTAATTTATTCGTAATTGAAATCGGAATAATGACAAAATAAATAAATTTCGCATATTGATTGAAGACTTGTAAGGGTATGTAATTACATTGTAGAATTCACATGCTGATGAAAATGCTCGAATATAAGCAATTGAAAACAGTCCGTTAAAATGGGCGGGGCTAATTTTTGATATCAGGCTACTGACGTGATATCAAAAATAATTATCAGGCAAGTGTTATCGGGTAACCATAGCAGTTGCATGATAAAAATATATATGTGCACATTTCATTGTAAAATGTAAAAACGATTCGGAAAACGTTACAAAATTGTTCCAAAAAGAACAGGTTAACGTCATGATTTGATCACGTCATGAAGGAGAGTGCAATAGAGAAATACAGAATCCCTAAAGATAGTCCAACACAACAAAATTGAAAATGTTGCAGGCTCGGTTTGATTGAGCCTGTTCATGGACGGTACTGTCAAGTGCAAAATACCGTCCACGCCCCCTAGCATAGGCTTAAGCAGAATTCAACATTTAAACATGAAATGGTAAAACTTTGAATTTAGAAACATCCGCAGATGTGTTCATACGGCGGTTAACATGGTACCTTCAATGTTCCATTCCATGAAAAGAGGCATATGGTCCCCAAGTAATAAAAGCTAAAAATAAGTTAAGTCTTTGTTCGGTAAAAGTTTGCATTTAAATAAATAGTGCTCTGCATCTTCTTCTCCACTACCACAGTTAGAGATAGGATTTTGTCGTAAGTAGTTCCTAAACAAATCTGCATTTAAGTTACTGCATTGATTTCTTATTCTAGCATGATGAACAGAAGTACGATCCCCACTTAAAAAAAATAGGAACAACAGGCCCTCTGTTAAAGGCTGTTTAATTTTTTTTTTTCAATTTTGTTAAGCTAAGTAATTCCCCATTCTATCCAGGGTCTAAAATTTCTTTTGAAAGACCCTGTTCTATCTCAATTCTATGGAGCATTTTAATTGATGATTTATAAGAAATATATAAATACATGTGTGTGTGTGTGTGTGCGTGCGTGCGGCGCGTTTTGACTTTTCTCACTTCCACTTGTGTAACTATTCTTATGAAACTATCCGGAATATATGTATTATAATGTTTGACTTTGTGGGAAGGGCTGTTGCTAATGTTGTAATAACTTGTAGCCCA